TTTGTAGCATTCTAGATTATATATGGTCTGTCTCTTATACACATCTAGATGTGTATAAGAGACAGCTTACCCAGCTAATTATGTAGTACCAGTACGTTGTGAATATGAAGCTAAAGCTTCTCTTTACAGTAGTACTACCTTTACCTTTATTTGTTTAATTTTTTGTTTCCAATAGTCTATATTCATCTCGAGAATCTCGCAAGGAGGTGCTGCAGATAGGTCAGGATCCATCCGAGTAGGAGACAAGGTCATAGAGGTAATATCAATTATTGAATATGTCTTCCACCAGGTGGCAATTAATTTTGGGTATACGTGAATGAAGAGAGACAAAAGGATAAAATCCCATATATGCATATGATCAGACTCCAACCAGCCATCCTTCTACATGTAATTACTGATAAATTGTTGGTGCTAAAATATATATTTTTTTAAATGCCAGGCTGAGGAGAAATAATTTTTTGATTTTTCTAAAGACACAAAAAGAATGGTTGCAAAGTGGAAAAAGGGGTCATTACAGCCCTTTTTTCCCTCAGTATTTAAGTATTCAAAAATCAGTATTTCATTAACAGTTCCCAAGTTTTTCATCCAACTCTTTTATTGTGTCTTACAAAAATCAGTTGTACAACGCATCAAAGCCTGGCTTTAATACATCGGATGCATATTTAATAAATACAATAATTTTTAATCAAATGGTACACAGACCAAACTATTCATAGGAAAGACTTTTTTTATACCTTGTTTAGCGGACCGCCGACTGCAAATATTGGTGATTTCAAATAAAAAATAACATTTTATTTTTGGCCAATCAGCCAAAGTTTTTCTTTATTTTTATTACGCCCTTTGCTGCCTTTAAATCTCATAAAATATGATATGTAGAATTATTTCTTCCTAATTATATAAATTTAAAGCATTTAACCATCGCATTACTACACTGTTTACAAATTTTATTTTTATTTTCTCTTCCGTCTGGATGTTTTTTGGCATGATAAGATATGTATATTTCTTCCTAATTATGTAAATTTGAAGCATTTAACCATCCTATTTTACATTCACCAATAAAATTTTATATTTTTTCTGCTCTGTCTGGATGATTTTGGCAAAACTATTTGCTAAATAAGAAAACAAAATGTTATTTTTATTTCGCCCTCCTCCGATAATCTTTAAAAAAATAAGTACGCGAAACAAGGAATAAAAAATGTCTCGCCTTAAGGAAAATTATTTTCTTGTTTTCATTTTCAAATAGAAAGCAGTGTTCGCACAATTGAAACATTTTTACTGGTAACTTTGTCCATATAAAGCCAGCTAGTGCATGCAACGTGAGGTATTGCCTATTTTAAGTGGAATGCAATGGCTTCAAAAAACAATAATCATAGCCTAGGCCTGGATTGGAATGATGTTCATTTATTGAAAGAAGGCCAGCCTAGGCTACATAGGCCTAATAAGTGCTTTTTTTTATTCTACCAACACACAATTTTTACTGGTTGGTCAGGTATTTTTATTGGTAAAATTGATGGCTAAAATGGCTTCAGGAGAACACTGGAAAGCTAACCGCTTACTAAATATACAAATTAAGACTTTGAATTACCATTGGTTCAAGTTTTTTAGCATAACATAGACAGTAGGTCTTTAATTTGCTTTGAATGACCAAATCAAAGAAAAAAAGACTGACCTTTGTAGCATTCTAGATTATATATGGTACTTGACACATTATGCCCAAGACAAAGAAAGTTGTTATAAAAGTGCAGTGTCTAGCAATGAAATTTTATGGTCTACGATGGTTTTTATATATTGAATTCAGTTCATATCCATATTCATAATAAAACTTCTTTTTTTTTTTTGGTCAGATAAATGGATGTGACGTGACAAGGGGTAAACATGAGGATGCAGTGAAGCTCTTGACAACGGCGTCTGAGATCAATATGCTAGTATATAGGGAAACAACAGACATTGTACATCACCAACCTATTGTCAGTAAGTCGGTCTCTATTATTGTTTTGCAAGATATTGCAATGAAATTAACAGCGAACTACAATTCAATTCAATTCAGTTCAATCTTTATTGTCACACACAGTAAAATAATATGGTTTGAAATTCTTGTTGTTTGTTCACTGATTAAAAATAACAGTATACTTATTGATACAACCAACTACTAAAACACAACACATACATCATATTATATAATGTTAAAATATGAAGGTAAAGGTTAGGTAAAAATTTGGCTAAAAAGGCATAAAAGTAGTGTGTGTACAGGGCTTGAAATTAAGGGTCATTTGGTAGAACGAGTAGATTTTGTAAGCGGCAGGAAGGTGCTTTCCCTCCAAATCCCAATTATTTACAACTTGTACAGCCCATTATATTCAGTCAGGCAGTACGCAAAACATGCTATCATTCATTTTACTTGTACTGTATCAACCAATCAGCATGAACTAGACTGTTAAAGTGTGACGTCGTACACTTAAAACCGTGTCAATGTGCGCTCATCTTATTCTTGGTAAATCACCGTCAAAGCGAAGGAAACTGGTATAAAAACATCGGATTGCATGATTTTTTACTATTTTATTGAGTGCTACTCTTACCTGTACCTCCTCGTAATTGTGAACGTTTCCTTAACGTATTTGTTCATAAAATAGACTAAACGATCGTATACAGTATTGACTCATACGAAGTATACAGCCCAGATCAAGCAATAATCAAATTTTAACTCTAAATAGATCGTAAATAAATACAATTAGGCATCATCTGGATGATTATATTCAAAGTACTACCGGTATTAAGGCAGACATCTTTTATTGAAAACCAAACCAATTACCTAAACCTCATACATTATGAAATAAGATTACGCTTCTTCAATCACATGGCTGATGATAACAAAGGGTATAAAATACTCTTTGATGATAACCTCATCCAGATTTCACGGAGCAGCTATAGTTTAACAACATGCATCTCAATGAGCAACATCTTGAAATTTACACAAAAAAAAAAACCAAACAAATAGGTCTCACAGCAAATTTCGAAACCTAATTAAATGAAATAATATAGAAAGCAACTCCTTTACTACCATTTATTTACTGAACGAGCCAGTCGGCTTCTGACCTACTTTTGTTCGTATCGGCGGCGTACAAAGAGTCAAATGACTTTGTGTCTGGCAACCTCGGTGTCTGTGTCTACCAGGAGGAGCCTGGAATTGGGAACGTTTCTCGCTGATTGTAGTAGACGGGAGCAGAGTTATTTCACTAAGGCAACTGGTAATGGGCCTCTATCAAACAATTTATTTCATTCTTAACAAAGTATAAGCAGAAAGTAAGCAAAATGATTGTTTAATCGTGTTTTGGAATAATATAAAAATTGAATTGTATATAAATGAATATTTAAAGATTAAATTTTAAACGTGGAATTAATAAAGTGCAACAATTGAATTAATTGGTTATTTAATCTATAAGATATATAAAAATATATAATTCTACAAGGAATGTTTCTTGTTTTGACAAGAACAACAAAAAACGTAACAACAAAACAACATCGAACTAACTAGTAGCAGGCCTATTACGAAATTATATTTCGCGGAGTAATATCCCAAACCATGTGTGCATCTGACTACACCGGCTGGCGAGTAAGGTATGTTGAGTCCATTGCAAGTTGTAAACCAATCAGAATGCTGGGATATTACATCATTCGGGGCAACTTGCAATGTTTGGGATATGTTACTCCGCGAAACCTTTGTTCTCTGGCGATTAATACTGAAGTTTTTCGAATTTCGAAGGCGTACCAGTTTTTTTTTTTTTGTTTTTTTTAAATAATTCTCAATAAAAACAACCATTGAACAAGAAAATGAAACTATAGATCGTTATATATGTAGGTATAAGATACTTTGCTGAAGTTGTACAGGCCCAGGCATAATGTTCTAGGCTACATTATAACCTAAATAAGAAGTGTCGCCGGCCGACTGTGTGATGCCAATTTTTTTGGGCTCAAAATTAAGCCTAAATGGCCTTTGACAAGTAGGGAGCTGGAATCTCAGCACTCCCAAAATGTTGGTGAAAACTCTGGAACTCTGTTTAGGTTGAAATTATTATGTGTAAATTGATTTACAGTTATCTCATAAAGAAAAAATTCCATCCACGCATATTAAAAATAAGTCTGCCAATTTCCGCGCAAATGTTGCAGTAAAGTCGGCCAGTGGCTATTGTAACCAATGTATAATCAAAGCCTGGCTTTAATACATCGGATGCATATTTAATAAATACAATAATTTTTAATCAAATGGTACACAGACCAAACTATTCATAGGAAAGACTTTTTTTATACCTTGTTTAGCGGACCGCCGACTGCAAATATTGGTGATTTCAAATAAAAAATAACATTTTATTTTTGGCCAATCAGCCAAAGTTTTTCTTTATTTTTATTACGCCCTTTGCTGCCTTTAAATCTCATAAAATATGATATGTAGAATTATTTCTTCCTAATTATATAAATTTAAAGCATTTAACCATCGCATTACTACACTGTTTACAAATTTTATTTTTATTTTCTCTTCCATCTGGATGTTTTTTGGCACGATAAGATAAGATATGTATATTTCTTCCTAAGTATGTAAATAGCAATGAAAATTTTATGGTCTACAATGGTTTTTATATATTGAATTCAGTTCATATCCATATTCATTATAAAACTTTTTTTGGTCAGATAAATGGATGTGACGTGACAAGGGGTAAACATGAGGATGCAGTGAAGCTGTTGACAACGGCGTCTGAGATCAATATGCTAGTATATAGGGAAACAACAGACATTGTACATCACCAACCTATTGTCAGTAAGTCGGTCTCCATTATAGTCTTGCAAGATATTGCAATGAAATTAACAGCGAACTACAATTCAGTTCAGTTCAATCTTTATTGTCACACACAGTAAAATAATATGGTTTGAAATTCTGGTTGTTTGTTCACTGATTAAAAATAACAGTATACTTATTGATACAACCAACTACTAAAACACAACACATACATATATTATATAATGTTAAAATATGAAGGTAAAGGTTAGGTAAAAATTTGGCTAAAAAGGCATAAAAGTAGTGTGTGTATAAAATGAATTTAAAATGTATAGAATTTTTGCATAGGCATAATTATTAAATTGCCTCATAGCACTTTATAGAAATGGATTTCTTTTCCTGACAAAACAAACTACCATGTAGCATAATAATATCTTTAATTCAAAACATTTTAATGCTGGAATTTTTTACTTAAAAAAAAAAAATCACCTGCCATTTTTTGGTTGGTTATCCTTCACATAGTTCATGATTGTATGTTTTTATATCGGCTCTTCTGCCTGCTGTTGCCTCTTATATGGTGAATAAGTTTAATTAGATATACATAATTGACAGGTTGTGAAACAGTCAGTTTATACAATGCTAAAGTTACTGCCATATAAATTGAAATTATTAATTTTAATGAATCTTTTTCAGTGCATAATCCACCAACATTCAACCTATCCTTCATGGAAGACTTCCCAGGTGCCAATGATGAAGTTGAAGAAGAACAAGAACCTAAGATGGAGGAGATATTACTACTGAGGAGTGGTGGTCCTCTAGGACTGAGTATAGTAGGAGGAAGTGATCATTCCAGTCACCCATTTGGTGCAAATGAGCCTGGTGTCTTCATATCCAAGGTAATATCCAATGAAAATATGATTTTAAGATTAATGTATGATTGGTTGATGACATTAGGGGAACAAATAATCATATTTCCCACTAGATGGGGCATTGGTTTAACAACTACATCAACTACAGTATTATCAAGTTTTTATCGTCATCATGATCACAAATATCATCATAAATTCAACATCATCAACATCATCACTTTCATCAACACATTATCATCACCATCATCATCATCATCACCACCATTGTTATAATTATAATCACCATCAATCACTGTCATCATTATCATCACAGTCACCACCAATCAATGCCATCAATACCATCATCACCAATCAATGCCATTACAATCACCACCAATCAGTCATCAATATCATCATCACAGTCATCACCAATCAATGCCATCAATACCATCATTATCACCACCAATCACTATCATCATCATCACCCACCACCACAACCACCAATGTATGTCATCACTATCATCATCATCATCATTATCATTACCACAATCATCACCAATCACTGTCATCATCATTATCACCATCCTCATCATTATCATCACCACCACAATCATCACCAATCACTGTCATCATCATCATCACCACAGTCACCACCAATCACTGTCATCAATATCATCATCATCATCACCACAGTCACCACCAATCACAGTCATCATCATCATCGTCGTCTTCGTCATCACCACCAATCACAATCGTCCATTATCACAAATCATCATCATTGTCATAGCAGCTAGATGAATTTCAATTAGAAATCACAATATTTCTAACACACCACCATCCACAGATAGCCAATTAATGATAATAATGGTTTAGTTATACCGCAATTTGATAATTAATATTAAAAAAAAAAAAAAAAAATTCAATTTATCATACAAAATTCAAGTAATACTAACACCTAAGTACATTGATATCAATGTAGTGATAACTGGGAAACATTTTGTTTCCCAAATTCACAGGGCTGGGGAATGCTGTTCCTGTAACGAAATTCACTCAAAAGGCCTTGTAATTCAATTCATATTATTCAATTCAATTATATTAAGCAATATCTTCTGCGTTCCCACTACAAAGAAAGAGTAGTTTGTCAATTTGTATCTTGTACTTTTTTTTGCATTTAGATTGTTCCAAACGGTGCTGCTGCCAAGACAAATCTATGTGTAGGCGATCGTGTCATAGAGGTTAATGGGATTGATGTACAAAAAGCTAGCCACGGGGAAGCAGTGACGGCATTGCTGTCTGATCCCACGCAAATTAGGCTTGTAGTCAGACATGACAAACCTCCTACAGGATTACAGGTAATAAGGATAATACAATAATGATAATGATAATTGCTTTTTTACTCTTGTACTGCCCCATGGCACTGCAAACAAGGGATGAAAGGAAACTTTAAAGGAAAGTGGGTAATTTTACCTTGAGAGTTTTGTCCAGATGGGCCCTTTTCAGTTCGAATATTATTGTATATAAATAGGCTATCTATGCAATTGTAACCTTTAAATTTGTTGGGTTTTTTTTTTTTATCAGGCCTGATGTTACTGTCAGTATTGACTAGAGGCACCCACAAAATATTTAATTTATAAGCCATGAAATAATCACAACACCTAGGTCTGAAATGTAACGAGACGTCACTTCACAGCTCGTCGACACTGCAATTATAATAATTGTATAATTTATTACTCTGACCATTGATAGGTAAAAAAAAGTTCTTCATCTAGTTCACAGTGATTTTTGATTTTTGACTATGTTTTATATAAAATATACAATTTTTTTTTTCTTTCTGTCATTCAATAGGAAATTAAAATACTAAAAACTCCAGGGGAAAAACTTGGTATCAGCATAAGGGGCGGAAATAAGGGACATCCAGGCAATCCCTTGGATAAAACCGATGAAGGTATTTTCATATCTAAAGTAAATATCTCAGGTGCAGCAAGAAGAGATGGACGTTTAAAAGTGGGTCATAGAATCCTTGAAGTCAATGGTCAAAGTTTATTGGGGTCATCACACACGGAGGCAGTGAGGCTGCTTCGGGGGGCTGGGGAGGTGTTAACAGTACTGGTATGTGATGGTTATGATCCCGAGGTCGTACCCCCTGTGTCAGCTGTTCACGGAATATCCGACAGGAGTACTCACACAAGCCAGGAAAGTCTTTCATCTATAGACAGGGAGATGACACCAGAAGAAATTCGAAAATTAAATCAGGTTTGTAATATTCAGTTTTTGTATTTTAAACCTCTGTCCACACTGTATTATGTGCCCATAATTTTTTATTATTGCATGCTTTCGAGTCATGCAAGTGTTTCTGTGAAGTTGTAGTCCTGGTAACACCGCCATCATCGACTTAATTATGCAATACAAAAAAAAATAGTGTATTAAAGTGAAAGTATACTTGCCACTAAGCTATAGCAACAACCTGCAACCATCTTGTTTGTGGCAGCAACAAGTAATTAATTATGCATATCTAGAAGTTAATAAACTGGAAGCAAAATTTCTGTTTAAAGCAATTTGTGTTTAATGCAATAAGCATTTCAAATTAGTCATAATTTGCATAAAACACTCCCCAGGGGAAAGGAAGGAAGGTAACTGGGGAAAACATTTCCATCTATCAATCCTCTAGGGACTCACTGTGAAATTATACATATCTAGAAATTAATAAACTGTTAAACAATATATCCCTCTAAAGCAATTTGTGTTTAACGCAATAAGCGTTTCAAACTAGTCATAATTTGTATGAAACCCTTCCCTGGGGGAAAGAGGGGCAGTAACTGTGGAAACTGATTTCCATCTGTCAGTCAGCTAGGGATCACTATGGAATAACTTCAATTTTGCCTGCTTATTGATTTTATATGTACCTTTATTGCAGGAGTGTGAATTCCAAGATGAAACGGAACGTTGGGAACAAGAAGACTTGGAGAAAGTGGTAAGTTCTTGATTTTATAAATTGTACTTCGTAAATATTTAGTAATCAACACAATAGTGCCAATGTTTCTTAATTGCATGGATCATCGTTTGATTGACATGAATCCTGGTTGAAAGGTCATGCAAAGTTGTCATATTTCAAGTAATTTTATCATTGTACAAGATCCATGCTATACAGACACTTAAAAATGTGTGTTGATTTGTGCATATCAAGCACATCTCAACACAAATGAGCGGATCAACTGAGCTGTTTCCTCGTGAGGTTGGCAGCTGAGCTGTATCTGCTGATGTGGTGTGGCATGTCTTAACTGCTGACCATTATAAAAACTGAATGATTCCTTAAGTCGGGCACGCTGTGTCAGCCAACAATAGGCCATCCCATAGAGAATGCAAGGCATCGAGGCTTGCGTGGTTGATCCTTATCAGCAACATTCTCGTGGTAAATGCTCACAAAGAGCAGAGACGGATCCATCAGCCAGCGGTTAGCCGAAACAGCCTGTGCCTGACTTTAGTCTGCTGCAAGAAATCCAATTTGTGTGAAATAAATCTTGTTTTTGCTCTTTTTTTTGCATTTTTCTATTGTTTTTATTTTGTAATTTCTTGAAATTTTCACACACCCATTCTTTTTACTTATCATCTCTTGAGCATCTTGTTTAAACTTTAGTTTTTGCATCTTTTATCTTCATTTCATTTACAGAGACAGCACGTTGAGGTAAATACTTTTGTGGGAAGTTGGCAAACTAACTGCGCTTCTTATTTCATTATTTTTAATGCTTCACTTAAGAATTTTAGTTTGTATCCAAATTTCTTAAATTGGCATGCGATGTTTGATGGTTTAGTCTAATTGGTTTAGCCATTACACGTTCAATAGTGTATCTATGTCATAAGTAAACAATTAAAAGCAAATGGTAATTTTTAAAATCAATCTACATTTAAAAGAAATTTAAAATGAAATAAGAAAACAATTAATTTTTTTCTCATAGAAAAATTTTGGATTGTTGTGAATATTGATTATCTAGTCCATTAATCCATTTTCATGTATAATTTTTGAAAATGTGTTTAATTGGTAAATTTTGGGGTTTCCTAATCTTATGCTAAAAGTATCTTATTTGTTTTTATTATTGAATATCTGCACTGTCTCTACTCTGTGGCTGCATGCCCTAGCTTCTTTATTAGCCATACAGCATGTGTTTTATATCTATTTCATTTGCCTTGGAAATTATGTAAACATGATGTCTATTAAACTGATGCTGATGAAGATTGAGGAGATGAGGTGCATTGGGTGATCTTCCTCACATTCAAGGGACTTGGCTTGCTTATGTACAATTAGAGTACAGTATCTTAATTTAATAATAAATTGTTGTCTAATAGCCTATAATAACAATACATTATTGTAAATGTTTAAGATTTCGTCTTGGTCATTATTTTTAACTCATTCATCAAATAATAAATTAGATTTTCACTCAGAGCTATGCATTTTACTATAGCTTTTTCACAAACTGACTACATAATTAATTGAATCTGTGTTCATCCTTGATTAACTGATGCAGCATGTTAGAAACTTTACTGATCCCACAACTAAGCTCAACTCAAAAGAGACTAATAATGAATATACATTGCACTGTTCAATTCGAGATTCCTGTAATTCCAAGACCCCCTATAGTTTGAGACCACTTTTTCAAAGAACCAAATAACAATTTAAAACTATTTACACAAAATGAACCCTCTCATTTGGAGACCGAACCCAGAGATCATCCCAAATTTTCGGGTCCCAAAGGTGGTCTTGAATTAGAAGGCAAACCGTATTCAAAGAAATATCTATTTCTCTTGTATGATGATACTACAGTAATAAGGTAAACTCTACCGTCTTGTGGCAAAGCTGAACTAAGAATACAAATTGTACTTTGGTAAAATGAAACTACCTGCTAACATGGAAAAGTTGCCCCATTTTTGAATTCTTACTCATGTCTTCTGTTGGATGCAGAAGTTTCAAACATTGAACAACTTCCTGCACTCTCATGCATAAAAATGGAACAGCACTAGTCATCAAAGAACTCGCATGGAATGACTAGATTAACATTTTTCCCCTGCACTGTTGAAACCAATTCACAAGTACATATGAACATGCTAAAATCATTCACCTGTCACTGGTTGCACAATCTGAGTACAAATGTTAACTATATTTGAGCACAACATTATTTTTAAAAGCATTATATTACATGCATTTTATGAATACTATGTTTAGATTATAAATTAATGAAAATATTTTATGCAAATCAGGAGGAGATGACACGGATGAGGCAACAAGAGACAGAAAGGTTACTTGCAGAAGAGGTAAATATAATCTCATCTTTTTGAAATATTCAAATTTTATATTGCTATAACCATCATAACCAATATAAAGTTTCCAGTATATATTATAATATTTTTATGAATTTCACATTTTTTTCACTGACTGAAGTCAAATATAACTAGATACCCTATTCCTTTGTTTGATTTATTATAGTTTAATTTACATTTATTGTTTCATATTAAAATATATCTTGAATCATATTTAATTTGGTTTTCATATATAGGTTTAGTTTTTGTAGCCTTTGGTTTTGACTTGTTGCTTTTTCTTGTTTACAGGGATTTTTTCTTACCTTCATGTGTGTGTTTCTAATTCTTGTTATTTTGTCATATCTAATAAAATACTCTGGCTTTGATCTTAGACTATATAAGTCTATATGTTAATTAATTCAGTTAATGTCCAAAGTGTTTTTTCCTGTGTTTGTCATATTATTTTTGTACAATTTTCCACAATCTATCACTTGCATCTGTAAATTTAAATTATTTACTTATTAGATCTCGTCCATGGTGGCAGCACCCGTGGAGGGTCAGTTGTCCTCTATGTTAAACAGGCCCGAACCCCTGTTGCCTGACGTCGTTAGACAAAAAATATTTATTTTTCTTTCCAAATTGCTAAGCCCTAATATTTTGGTGTAAAAAAGCACAATTTTAAACTATACTAAGCCATAAGATTTTTATTCCAAGACCGTGTATAAGAGACAGCTGCTCATCTACAAAGTATATAGAAATAAATGTTGTTAGCCTAAGGATTATGGGAACACAATAGTGCATGATCACACAAGTATCAGCACAGTCAATAACCCTAGAAAATTAACTTATAAATATTAAATTTTTGATTGCAATATTCTTTTTGGTCAATTTTCAAGATAGTATTTGTTTCTTCAATACTTTATATTTATTTCATTAATTTGTCTGTTTTAGTTTTATATTGTTTATTATTTTTTAATTGATTAATTTAAATTAAATGTTTTTAATTGTGTGGGTTTTTTCAAAAGTTGCCATTTTAGTTTTAATTATATTAGATAACTTAGTTTATTTCATACTAAATATTTAAATAATATAAACATTTTTTTCAATAACCTGCACATAACTAATACCGATTAACTAAATGAAATTTCAAATTCAAGTTTTGTACTATTGGTAAGTCACTTACCTTAATTTACAAATATACAGAAATTGTTTCAACTTAGAACAACATGGCAATGCATTTGATACAGATGAATTATTCTTGGTGTACCAGTAGTGATACTAATTCAATTTATCAGATGTTTATTCAATTTTTGTTAACATCATTTGTAAATTATTTTTGGATATAAGTACACATTTCATAACAGATTATTTTTTTTTAAAAATGAGAGTGCATCAGTAGGTAAATTGAGGTTTTGTCAGTGTATGCAAAAAGCAAAAAAAAAGTATAGTAAAACATAAATTTTTGTTTTTGTTGTAAATTTCAACAATGATATGAAACTGTTTTTATTGAACAAGATAGATATATACTATAGTTTCTCTGGTATGAGGCCACCACTCCCATTAATACAAAGTTTGGCCAATTTTTGGAGTGGACTAATTCCTGTGGAATCACCTTTTTAAGTAATGGTAGTTTTTCGGTATTGTATACCAGTTTAATAAAGCCAATATTTGATGTTTTTTTCTGAGAATATTGGTAAAAGTCAGACCCTGGACTTTTGCCTGAAGAATGCCTGGTAAAGTAGGGGGTGGGCTTATAGTAGGGAGTGGGCTTTACCCTAGTACCTACAGTAATAGATTACTATTGATGATTCTAATATATTTGATGATTTTTTCAGATTGTTTTTATGTGAAGGTGCAAGTTTTGACTTTATTTTTATATCCTATATTATGGTGCAATATTTTTTTTTTTTTTAATTGTGTTTTTTTGTGGGTTAATGCAGGGATGTTTGATGACATGTATGTGGGTATGTGGAAATGTGCGGTGCTTCTGTGAACAGTTCTGCCATTCCAATATTTGTTATTAAAAAAATCTGTTTGTGGAATGAAACTGATAGAGTGGCGGTAATTTCTGTTGATGGTAATAAATTTACTCAAGGAAGAAAACATCTTTTTAGCTTTTTTTTTCTGATGTCTTAAGATTAAAATTCTTTGCAAAGAGGTATTGAGTAATTGATTTTATGGTGTTTGTTCATATTGTTATTAAAGGGACTAATGCACTTAACTAAAATTTTATTAAAAGACACTATTACACTTAATTATAGAATAAACTTGAAAATTATTCTTAAACTTTGAATTGCTTAACTGTACGTTGTATATTGTAGCAATTGAAAATTAAAAACAAATTTTCCTCAAAAAAGTATTTGCCTTTTTAGGAATACTTCGGTATTTGTTCTTCCATTATATCCTGGCAATTTAGGTAGCAAATTTAAGAACTATTATAGTGAAACTCTATAAATACTGATTTTTATTTATTTATTTTTTTATTTGTGGTTGAAATTTGAGTTATGGGATTCTCCTATATATTATATTTCTCTCTGAGTGTTATTTATTTGGTGGCAGTGTATCTTTAATATGCTGTATGCTAAAAATGAATCATGTTATTGATTTAGAGTTAAGCCGCCAAGGTGCAGTAGTTTATCTATAAGGCGAATGCATATGAAAGAGAATAAAAGAGAAATGCATTTGCAGATTAAATGATTGACTTCATCTATAAAACTCATGCTAATTATGTGTAAGCTTAGGCATTGCTATGTTTTAATAGATGGGTGTATGTGTGTGTGAGGTTATGTATGAAGGTGTGTGGCTTCCATTTATGAAGGTGTGCGTGTGTCGGTTTTTTATAGCTTATATTATCATTTGCTGTAAACTTTTCTTAGCTTCCATTTGAGGTTTCAAGGGTGGAGTCTGAAGATGTTGATGTTAACCATAAATCCGAACAAATGCAATCAGTAAGTTGGGCATAAGATTGCACCTGCATCTGTTTGATGTGCTGAAATATAAGGCTTCTCTTTTGCACTACCATCTTGTAAAATGACTTTTGCTTTTTTTTTTTTTTGGTAAAAAAGAAAACCCTGTTTAAAGCTTTTGATAGTGTGCAAATGTATGTTCCTTGTACGATAAGAATTTACCTGCTTTCCTGTTTATTATTTTATTTATATAATTGCTTTTTTCAAAGTATTTTGATATGTTTTCATTGCCTTCGTAATTTGTTTTAGAATGAATTGAAGTAGAGCTGCTTTTGCAATATTTTTCATAATGTGTTTAGTATTTTTTTTTTTTTAAATAATGATGCTCTTTTAGTTCTTTTGGGTAATACTTCTAATGTTCACTGAATTATTTACCTAACAGTTTTTCTCGCAGTGAAAATGTATGTTATCCTGTGTACTTTATAAATATATGCATTATCAATTTTGTTTGTCTTAGTTGGCTGAGTGGGGTGGTGAAAAAAAAGCTTAAACCAAGCATAAAGTCATTTAACTAAGAAAATAAAATAAAACTAAAAATAAACTCTGAAGCTGGACCCCATTATTTGTGGCAAAGACAAGCCAAACCAGTCACTCATCGCAAAAATTGATTTTTAGTTATTAATACAGGGTTAAAGATGAAAATGAGAGCTATATATAATATGTAATTGAATGATGCAGCTACATAAACTCATGTCGCTATATGCATAATTCAGTACTGTAGTTGAATTTAGAGCTGTTTTTATTAATAGTGCTAGACTTTTCGTCTTTATTAATAATAGTGATAGTCAAATTTGTTTGTTGCTTTATAATGGTTAGAATATAGCACTTGAAATCTGTTATCATTCAACATGGTTGAAGGGATCAGGCCACCTTCAGCAAATCTATAACACCACTGACCTTCATATTATTATGATAAAATCCTATATTGTTTTTGAATCTGTTCATGAACTGATTAAAAATTACTACTCTGCATATATCCAAAAAAAAAATTGTTTATTTTATTTGCTATTTAAAATTTTATTTTGTCGTTCATACTGTGATCAATATGTTACAATTATGTGTATACCAAAGTTTCTCTAGTATATACCCACTCCTAAATTTCTGCTTAATTTTTATTCAAAATGCTCTACCCATGTGTAATTCCACCCTTTGATTTCAATGTCTTCAATATAATAACAATTATTATTATGGTTAGGAGTGTATAATCATCATTAGTCATATTCTTATTCTTTTATTGTATGAATTTTCTTGAAAAGATTCTTGATTATCATTTTGTAATTGCTTAAATTTCAGAAGCCAGTTGGGGCAAACGGGCGCATTACTCCTGAGGAAGAACAAACAGAATTTCAGGTAAGCACGGTTTTATATATATTATAGAAATATATTTTAGAGAAATACATCCATAGTACTTCTTCATATTAGTTTAATCTCTTGAATTTTATAAGAGGGTTTTTTTTTTACGGAATGCCTCCCTCTAGTGAATATTTTTCCCTCCTCTTATTGCATCTGTTTTCTCCTTTTAATTTGATTTTATTGCAAAATGCTTTTAAGTATGATTTCTCATTGCTTTTATTGATACTTTAGTGCATGGCGGCTATTGGCCTATATGTCCGTCCACTTATATTATTCCACACGTACCTACATTGATGACCAACCAATGTCTTGAGCATGATCTCAAGCCCAAATGAAATAAAAAATGTTAAGAAATTGAAAGAAACATGAATTATTACATTAACTATTTTAAAAGAAAGCAATATGTTGCTGACACCTACCTTATTAAATTTTGAAACTCATTATATTACATATTATTTCTACTTTATTAAATATTATTTGATATGTATACTTATATATTTATGTATTTGTATCTCTGCAAAGAATGTGTAATTTTTGTAATACAGTACAGTATTGTAGTTCTATTTCTTTAATTTAGTTTTTTCCACATTACAATTTATATGAGGACTACACCACCTTCATTTAAACATTTTTTCTTGTAATTTTAATTCTACATTGAATGAAATTGTTGTCTCACTACTATCTCCAGGTGGTTTTATATATTTCTTAATATAATTTTGATTCTTTTCTTTTTATGCAATTTTAATGTAATGTTTTATTTGTTTTCTTAGTAAAACTTTTAAAATAAATTACATCACAAAGTGGACCAATATAGTAACAGCTTTTTTCTTTTCAATTTATTTTTCTTTATCACATTACTAATTCTTGTCCTCGATTCCGTCATTCAATCAACTTATTAGCAGAAGCGGGGTGTTCCACCGCCAATTGCGCCTAAGCCCCCAAAGCGAGGACGTGATGGTAGGCCAGAGAACTCGTCTGGCTCAACGAGTCCCCTGCTTACCCCGGAGGTAACTGCTTTGGTTTGTGTTGATTGCTTGCTTGTTTATTCCTTCCCGTATGTCAGCTTGTATAACAAACATCCGTGGATGTTATATCTTTCTTGTCCAATTGTCCTTGTGACATTGTTTTGTTCATAGTGCTTCTGTTGGATGAAATAAACACAGGCTTCACTGTCAAGCTTTTAACATGTAAACACTATAATCTATGCTTAAGTATCTGTGCTTAATGCCTTTTAAGATGTCAATATGTTTATTGTATGTAATCGAGATAAATTTATGTAATTATAAAGTAAAGAAAAAAACTATTCTGTTACCCAAACAATATATTACTTAATTTGATGTAATACTTTAATTTAGCATATTATCATAACATCATAGTATTAGTGTTGTCATTATCATTTAATGAAACTTCTAATTTAAACATAAATTTAGATCTAAAATTCCATTTGGTTTTTAATAGATGTAAGTGAAAATGACTTTGTTTCTAAGACAAATTTTACTTACAACAATTTTTGATTAACGTTGCTGATCATCATCAGGTGAATAAACTAACCAAAGCTAGTTTATATCATTATTGACTGGTGGCATTCGATTGTGATGTGTGCCCAATATGGAAATTTGGAAAACATAATAAAAGATAATTCCCATTACCATCTCGTACACCAACCTGGGGAGGGGGGCCTGGTGCCTCAAAAGACTTTGTGTCACCACAGATGATTGGTCCATGTCTTCAGATGATATCAGTCAATGTTATGAACCGGCTTCGATTAGATAATTCACCTGATGTCAACAAAGTTTATCAAAAGCAAAAAAAAATTCACTTATAAAAAATCTTTAAGAAAGTATCAGCCATAATCTTATTAACACAACACAGTGTCCAACCTCTTTGCTATTTAGGATAGCATCAACAGTTTTAAACTTCATTGACATTGGCTAGTTAATAACTGTGAAGTCAGGGTTTGTCATTCTTAGAACAAAAAGTTGGAAACTCCAAAACCAAAGAGTTGAAAACTCCAGCTGGTAGATGTCCAAGACATATGTACTTTTTATTTACCAATGAGTTTCAAACCATTTTGAGATCAGTTGGTTGATGTCAGAGAATGATAGAAATGTGTCTGTCATTCTAGAGTTTATCAAAGAGTTTCAAACTAATTAGAATTTCTTCATGACATCACAGAAAGCTGCATCGTATCACAAAATTATCTTACATTACAAGATTTAAAAGATCTGATATTGAGAAACTGTTTGACTGTAATGAGCACTAAATTACTGGTGATGGCAAGCCATCTTTATCGGCTGTAGTTTAGCTAGACGTTAGACACTGTGGACTTTAATAGTAATATAATTTAATCTGAAAATCTAGCTAATTTGCAATATGGATTTATACTTTTCATTTCAGTCTTGTTTGAACATTTTCAGAAATGTAACTTAACTATATATCTTGGATGACAAAATATATTTTACCTTTAAACTTTTAAATTTGTTTATCTTTTTCTTCAATTTGATTTTATTAAAGAATCTGAATATTTGCTTTTCAAATTTTGTTTCAGATATTCATTGTCCAAAAATAATGAAAACAAAACTGGAAAATAAGTTTATATAATAAAGCCATTTTTAATAGTAAATTTTATAAATAGATAAGAAATTATTTCTTTCAATCTAAATTCATAATTGAATGTCAAATTGTAAGTGTTCATGATGGGAGAAATTTTTTAGGTAAAACTAAATGTTAATATAAGTGTACTCATGATAATGTTTATAGAGTATTGTATTTAGTGTCGTGGTCTTGTTTTGATTATTGAATTCTTTGTACTGTTAGGGCCTCTTTGAGTCATCTTTTACTTTGAGAGCTTCCCTTTGTAACAAAAAAATTGAATTCATAACTACTTCACAGATAGCTTGATATCTGTTTCCAGAATTAATAAAAAGATACATACAATATGTTCAATCAAGATAAATCTCTTTAACTCATTCGCATACACCACCTATTTTTCATCTTCACCTCACTCGCCAATATTTAAAATAATGATTGTTTTGTTCTTGTATTTATTCTTCTCTTTGATTCTACTAACACCTGTTTCTTCAGGATAGTGTTGTTCAACTAAGATCAGCCAAACAGGCTCGGGATGAAGCGATACGGGTCAGTCGCTTATCACTCACGAGCACTTTGAGCCGCCATTCTTCCTCTTACAGTCTCTCAACTCCTCCTTCGTCACCTCAGGTGAGATGGATGTCATGCTCTCACATCGATTATCAGTCTGCTTCCATAACCCAGTGGTCTTTACTTGTCCGTTGCCTTTCGTCAATTTCTTAACATGTCATCGATTACTGATGCACATTCACTCACATGGTGCTTTCATTGTTCAGCTTTTACTCAGCAGTTGACTGTTGTGACATAATCCACATTTCATTGCTGATTTCCTTCAGTGATAATTTTTTATAGGTTTGTTTTTGTCTGCCAAGAAGGTGAATATCTTACATATACGACAGTTTCTCCTAATGCTTAACACATAATGTAATTTATATTAACAATAATAAAAATATAACATTTACAAACAAATTAGTTATATTATTATGTTATAAAAGATGTTATGGTATCAAGCATAGCCTTAAACAAACAGTAAATGAATTTCTAAAACCATAAATATAGTAGAAAAAATAATTATAGAAAATAGATAAAATTTAGAGATAAGGTTTGGATTTTGTGAACCATTATCTTTATTTGATAGTTCCATGCCTAATGACCTATATATGATCTCTTCATACTTTTTCCTCATTACCTTCATAATTTGAATCTTCAATCTTATCATTATTGGCTTCACGCTCTATTGTTATGGACATCCTGATCAACCAGTACCTGTGACTTCATGGACCTATGATCCTATCGTCCACATGATCTACCTTAGTTTTGTTTACTCTTACTAAAGTATTTCATGGCTTCAGTCAGTCTGTCTTTTTTTTTTTTTTATAATTTGCTGATTTATCATGCTTTTGTTACTCTATATTGACATTTGATAATTACTCATAGATATATTTATTTGGCACAGATGTAAAATTTAATGTCCTAATAATATGTATGGATTTTAATTTGTTTACTTATAGGTATAATTATTAAAAGAGTGAAAATATTGTTTGTTTTTTATTTGTTTAAACAAAAACAAAAATATAGTAAATGTACTAGAATTGTTTAATCACAGACCACTTGACATTATTATGCCAATATAATGTAAATAAACTGTGTTAAAACCTGATATAATAGTGCATGTAAGGATATTAATTATAAATTTCCTTATATATAAAATCAGTTTAATGCAGCAAGAAATAAAATAAGGAAGTAAATTAATAGTAATCTCTTCCTTCTCCTTTTTTTCCACCCAAAAGTATATAAAATAAGGGTTTTGGAGAATATGGTGGTGTTTGGGAACCCCAAACATTATCTTGATCTCTTGGTTGGTCGGTAGGCCTACATAGCGTTAGGTCAGGTGTGTTTTGCCCTGGCAACTATAAACCATAGAAGATATTTGCAGCACAATCATAGACTCATCCTATTACATAGATTAAAAATCTTTGTTTTTTTATTATACGCATATACCATTCTTGTCATGCACTGGATTTCACCTTTCATTTACTAGTTGCCACCAGGAATCAAGCATGCATTCTCTCAACTGACAGAGTGCTTTATATCCTTCCTGGCACCATTACTAGGAATTCCACATGCAACATGCATATATATTTCAGCCTGTATGTGACATATGACTTTGTCACCTGCTTTGCATTTTGTTTGCTGTGCTTTCTTCGCATGTTACGTGTTATCAGCATACTATATTCCCATTTAAACCAATTTTATGTATTTGATGCTTTCTGTTGTCTTTATGATTGCCTTCCACAGGAAGTTAACAGCATATGTTTACAGTCTAAGCTCCAGTACTTTATACATTTCATTACCATGTGTTTAAAAAATGAATTATCTGTTAGTATTTGATTCAAACATTATCTGTTAATAGCATGAGGATCTGAACACTAGCAATGACAGACCTGGGCCCGAAGGCCTAGCTTTTAAGGATAAGTGGAAGCACTTTGAAACTCGGATAGAAGAACAAAATCAATCAGTTCCTAAAGTCTCAGGTAAGTCCAGTAGTAGTAGTAGTAGTAGTAAGGGTTCCTTCATGTTTGCTGCCACCTAGAGTTCATACAACATCAATTTAAAAGTAATGTAAAGCTTTGTTCAGACTATCAAATATTCCTTGACAAAAAACTGTTGTATGCCCATGTTTAGTCATGATGTGCCTATGTATGGTCATGATGTGATGTCATGACCATATTTTGTCATGATGTGATGTCATCATGACCATATTTTGGCATGTTTTTGTCAAATGAAATTGGATAGTCTGGGCAGGGCTTAAGTGTAGCGCCCTCATTATTTTAATTCTTTGATGCAAAATGTATTTGGAGGACAGTAGCTCGCTAATGAACAATTTTCTTTAGTTTTAAAAAATAAGTAAATATATTTAAAATATATATATAATCAGAAATTTACCGAAAAAGTAGTCCTGTATTATATAATAAACATTGAAAATTTATGAATAACACTATTAATATGATTTTGCAATAATTTGCATTTCAAATGAAGGTAAAAGAGTTGATCTTGTAAGTGGTCAAGATTTAAACCTATTAAAAGAAGATGAAGAGCAACGAATGAAAGGCATGACGAAGGATGACATAATCAACTACTCTCTCAATGTAATGGATGGGGATGCAAGTATCACGCTAGACACTGCCGTAGTTAATGCAACAAACACAAGGTAAAAATTTGCGTCCCATCAAATCAGTGATGATACAACAAATTATGCAAATTACAATTTTGCATAATTTTTATCACTTTCCCACATTTTGTGGTTTCATTCAGTTTTTTTCTTATAAATATAAAAAAAAATTTATTTCATAATTTGGTGAATGGAATTTGTTTTTGTCATTGGAATCATGGAAACAGAATGACTGCATGAATTGTTTCATTTTGTGGTCAGCTTTGCATCCTTCTTGGTTTCATTGATTGTTTTCTGCTTTCTTGCATGCTTTCAGAAATGCATCTTCCTGTTCATGTCTAGTTATGAATTGTATATAGTTAGAAACTATTTAAATGTGAACATTTGACATTCAGGAGTCAAAATTCAAGGGTCAATATTCAATTTCAAGGATTGTAGATCAACCTATTACTCCATTTTCTTCTATTCCTTGGGTTTAGAGTTATGATTTTTATTCTCTTATTGCAATTTCTTCTCTTACTAAATTCTAACGCTAAAATTAGATGTAAACCTGCACATACTTTGTTGACTTTAGACTTTAAAAGATCTAGTTTAATTTATCAACATTTAATTATATGCTTTGAGAATGTCCATAACATTAAACCCTATCAAGAATATCAAATTTTATTTGACAAAAACTGTTGTTTGTCCATATATAGTCATGATATGGCTATATATGGTCATGATGTGGTGTCATCATGGCCATATTTAAGCATGTCATATGTTTAGTCAAATATAATTTGATAGCCTAGACAGGGCTTTAGACAGTACAATCACCTGTAGGTTTTCACTACTTTTCAGTTCCTCTTCCCTTCCTGATCTTCCACTTCAAATTCGCACTGCCAAAGCCGAGAGACGCTATTATGATAAACTTAAAAGCGAAGGTCTTAGTACCGACGACAGTGTAAACTCAGAGGAAGGGGGATTGTCCCCCGCTGAATTACGCTCTATACAAGCAGAGAAACGGGCGGCCTGGCGGGCTGCAAGGTAGAGGCTTAAATAATTATTACTTGTTAGGCGCATCAATAATTATTACTTGTATAAAGGAAGATACTAGTAAAATTCCAGAGTTTAAAAAAAATTGTTTCATTAAACAGGTTTTGTCCAGGATTTTTCACACCCAAAATCACTGTTTCCATCATTTAATGCTCTGACCACACTATCATGTTGTCTGTGATAAATATCTGATGGGCATGAAAATGTCCGATCACTTCCATATATAGGTGTGATGATGTCATATGACACCCTTATATGGTAACTCACAGTTGTTTGTGCCAAACTTTATAGTGTAGGCAGGGTTTAAAAGCATGTAGTGGTGGTATACAAATCACAAATTTCCCTTCCCCCCCCTATAAGTGTTGGCACTATAATGAAGATATAATCACAATTTTGGGTGTTCTTATTTGCCAGAATTCACTACAAATTTCACCTGGTGGTTCAGAATCGGTGTATATCTTTCAGTTGCATACATTTCTATCAAATTCTTCATGTCATTTTAAAGCTTGTCTCTAAATACATGTTGTGTGTGCTGCTGAGCCACGCTTTCAATGCATTTATGTTGCCTTGAACCTCATTTAAATTCAAATTTAAAAATAATATTTCCCAAAAAAATAAATGCCTTTTGTTTTGTATCCTGTGTGTTAAATATATGAAGAAGCCTATTAGAAGTTTTGTTGTTAAAATTCTTGCCTTTCAAATTATGTGAAATTTCAAGATTTCTTTCTCTTAAGTCTTGTATGGTACTTTCTGTTAGATGTTAATGAAAAATATAACTTTATACACACATTGCACCAGTTTCTTACACGTTTAGTATAGCAATATAACGTAGATGCATATCCCTTTGATTCCAAAAAAAAAATAGTTTAAAGAATCACAGTTGAAAAGGGAAATTAATTTGACTAATTAAAGGTAGTTTAATTGCCACATTATCAAGTTTTATGTAACAGTGCTTTGACCATTTTATGAGCATAATATGACATCATCTGATTATCACAGAAGATGTTATAGTGTGGACTGATTGTAGCATGTTTAGTGTAATCACTCATTTCTGTGTGTTGTAAATTGCTAACTTGCTTGTCTGTTTGCCTTACCTTTTTCCAATGCATTGATTTGTATCTATACTAGCATGATTGATTGATTGATGTATGTTATTGATTTAGGATGAAGTCCTTAGAAGATGAGGCATTACAAGCTCAGATTGTAATCGCTAAGTCTCGTGAGTTGGAACAGATCGGCAAGAGGGTTGACAATCAAGGTGAGGTTCGCATGGATCATCAGCGTTCTTAGCACAACAAATCAGATTCATCCTTGGTCAAACTTAAGCATGGTGTTTGTTGTCATTTTTGTATGAATGATTGTATGAATGTCTTCTAACTCCTTTTAAGTTTTTGAATTCATTATTTCAAATATAACAATACAAAGGGATGTGTTCACATGGAGAATTTTTTATATTCATTATATATGGTCATGATCATTTTCATTTTTTAAAATTTATCTTGGAGATATCATGTCATTGAAAGAGTACTAATTTCATTAATGATTACATGGTTTATTGTAATTCATATTAAGGGATATGATTTCAATGTTATCACTTGAAGGAATACTATTACTAATTTAAGTAATGAGTACTGTACATAATTTATCACTCTAGCCTTGAAGCTTAGTCTAAAATGATAGTTCTACATTATGTGCCATGTCATCAATAGGCATACAGTGAATTTTAATGTTCACTAGGCACATATGCTAGCGCTACTTTTTACAAAATAGTAGATTGCAAAGCATATTTACATGTTCAGAGGGATGAAGATATGCATAATTTTATGTAAGAATTTTGGAACCATTATTTTAAAATGTGTTCTTTGAATTTGTAGCCCTGGGCTTCTTATGATAGTCCTTAGCCTGTAATTCTAAACTTCTAAATTTTGGCTTGAAGTAAATTTTAGAATTTCTACTCTGGGCTTGAGATATTTTGCCCATAGTCCTGGGCAAAGAGACACTTGTATGTACTGTAGCCATATTGTCTTTGTTTCTCTAATTAGTTTTATTATTTCTGTGTGGTATTTTCACTGGTCACTTGTTAATTTCACTGTCCATGTTTGAATTCCGATGGTCAATAGTTGATGAGTTGTCCATTCTACCACCACCAAAGCCGCACTATTCGTCATTGACCTATATTCATGCCGTAGCTAAGGAGTTAGAACAAACTCATGATGTAACTAAGGCCAGCGGTAAGTACCCTCAGTATTTGAGAGGGCACGGCGCTGTTCTTGCTTGGTGGTGGAACCAGTTTACACCTTGGATGCTGGAAGCCTGACGCACTAATCTACACTTGCACTACATTTACACATTATTCTACTATTCATGTAATTTTGAATTAATAATGAGGATGTAAACAAATATTTTGACCATGTTAAGGCCAGGCTCCAGAGGGGAAAAAATGATGAGGTGTTGACTCTGGAACATTTAATGAGGTACCATGTTCTTTGAATATTTAAAAACTGAGGGAAAAGGGGTGCAAACTTGCTTATTTCCATCTTTTTTTTTAATATTCAAAAATCTGTATCTCATAAACCATTCCCAGTTTCTTGTCAGTAATCTTTTTGTGTTGTAGAATAATCAGTTCTACTGCTGCCAGTCAAAATCTGGAAACCATAAAGATGTATTGTCTCATGCAAAATACAAAAAAAAAATACAAAAAAAAATCATAAAAATCTTTTGGAAATTACTTGCCCATTTTTACATGAAAATAATGAATGAACTTGACATAGAAATTAGTATTTAAAAAATGTTTACCCATAATTATACAGCGAAAAATGATAGAAACACTTCCAGTCATTGGAAGTATTAATTTATTTGCGACACTTCACCTTAGAAACGGCGGCACTAACAAACTGTGGTGCAGTCAAACTTACAAATACAACAAAAAACACAAGAAAATTATAGTAACACCTTAATTATTATAAATTAAAGAACTTAACTAAAGTTAAATGTAGTATAATATTATACGAAAATGCAATGATCCATTGTAAGAAATTTTAAACTAAATAGAAATAAGCTTTTAAGTGTTTTGATTTTTTTTAATTATAACTATCCAGTTTAAAAATCAGGGTAGACATTTCTTAAATTCAATAATTTCTATGATCAAGTAAATAATGTGTATGTTACTGCAAAATGGGCAAGTTAATTTTTAAATTTTTTTATGATTTTTTTGTCATTTTTAAGGGTCAATACATCTTCAAAAATATTCACTCATTTAAAAGGATAAAATATCTTATCAAATTTCAAAGAGACAGATTGAAACTGTTAGAAGATTCTTAATTAATTACCAACCAATCTAGGAGTCCTTGCAAAGATTATAGGAAGATTAGTATTTATACCTCTGTTGGTGAAAATATTTTGTTTCCACTTGAAAGTAAAATTACTGCAAGCAGTTCAACTGTTGAAGTATATTATGTCAGCACAAACTATATATATATATATATATATATGTATATATATATGTATATATATATAATATA